GTCGTTCACTTTTTGTGCTGAACATTATATCGTCGGGGTGGTGGTATCAGTGGCCCATACCACGAGCACAACGACAAATTCAAACGTGACCGTAGTGTTGAAAGCTCATATGTTAAGAATTGGTGACTGTAAATCCACACGAACAAAAGTGGAATTGCATGCGATTTCCTTGCGCGACTTCGATAACGTTACAAATTCACTATTCGCATTTCTTCAGTTTTATTTTGTCTGCTGTTTGCTACCATCCATCTGATGTTATAACCAAATAATCAGGATTTATTGCATTAAATATCCAGTTTAATACCATATATTGTACGTACTTTGTATATCAATTGGTTTCGCATTCCTAGCTCTTCCTTATATTGACGCAGACGACCGGATTATAGCATGAGATGTGAATGGAAGGCATGCATGTCGCATAGTTTGGTTCACAAGCGCCAGACAACACACATTCGAAAAGAAATATGGCTTGAGCCATCCAATGGATGCGTGTGCCTTTTTATTGGAATCAGTTGCTGAATGCAACGGTATTTATATTATTCTCATATATTTCAAATGCATTTTTCTCAAAAGACTCAATTATCTGTGCTATACTATTCACCCGTTTTCAATGGGAACGCTTCTGCCAATGCTTCTCGGCAATGCGCGAAAATTTTTATCATAAGATTTACCAACAAATATATATGGTTATTTTTCTCTTTATTTTCATATGAATCACATGGCATTCGTGAGTGTTCGTGACCACGTTGGTTGATGGTGTGGCTTATAAAAGTATCAACATTGAATGAAAATGAGGAGAAAATGTGCATACATTCGGATTAATTATCGCAGACAAAATGATATATGTGTTCGGTGTATCATTATGGCTGTAGTGGAGCTGAAAGCGAATTCAAGTCGTATATTGAAAATACTGTTTCTGACAAATTGACGCTACTAATTCCTCCTCAATCTTTTGGTAAAATTGAACAAAATGTCAGATGACTGATGAGAGCATTTTAGATTTTGAGGCCTAATTCTTATTTTAATATACAGCTGATTCAAGATTCGATTCAATCTAAAATTCGGTTGCATACACACGTTTTTGAAATGGTAAGTCCACATTTGGTATTGTGTGCACAAAATTGCGGTCATTCGTCTTGACTGACACGATATAACTTCACTCTAATTCATTTTCACCACCATTGTGTTCGCCATAAATGTTGTGATGCCCGTTTCATTGTTGTGATATGCCTTCTTTATTTTTCATCTTGTCGGTGTGCGAACACAAAAGGACGACAAGTTAAACAGTATGAATCATAGCCAACCGTTCATCAGACGCATATTCGCCTTCCATCAAGATACATAAATTCACCGAAACGGACGCATACATGTGCCTCTGCATATTGGACACATGATGAATAGCACACTTGGAACACGAAGTGTGTGGAATAAAATCCATCAAAATAATTCGTCTACATTACACGAAACAATTCTTCGTGAAGCAATTATTGTTATATTCTATGTATATGCGGTCATACTATTGTTATGATTATTTATAGCAACTACTTGAAAATATTCCGGAATTTTTGGACGCTTACAATAGATATACAGACGACGTTTGTGTATGTGTATGTGTGTCCAATGTCCATATACAGAGACAAGAGGGTTACACCAGAAAAAAAGGGATCGCAAAAACTATGTCATTTCCACATACAATGATGAAAATTAACTTTAAGTGCGTGTCATCATTACGTTTATCGGTACGCATTATATCGAAGGACATTGGTGTATTATATTTAACGCCATTGGAACCCATGTGGGTATACCTCAAGTTAGAGTGAGGTAAAAGGGGGGAGATTTATATTGTGTTTTTCTCTCCTGATTTCAAACTGTATGAAGAAAGCGTAAATTCAAAATATGATGAATAAAAATTTTGTCCAATTAGCCAATGATCACTTTAGTTGGTGTAAAAATAAAACTTTATCAACTTTTTTGCATTTATTTACACATTGAACTGAGTGCATGAAAGAAAACCAAAAAAAAAAACAGAGATTATGTGTGAATTTTATTCGCATAAAATGCAAAGTGAATTAATTAATTTGTATAGTTTTTCAATGGATAAAAATGCTTCAAGCTGTGAATTTCACGCCATAAACCGAAATAAATACGTTTTAAAGTGTAATTAAAAGTCAAAAATTTGATTTAGATGGGAGAAAAAGAGAGAGAGAGAGAGAGAGAGAGAGAGAGATTGTATGGTTTTCGCAAACTGACAGATTCATTTGTTCAATGTATCGGTGTTACGGTACTAGTTCTGAGACATCAAAATACAATATTAATATCAGTTGCCGAATAGCTATGGGGATAAAAGATATGTTAAACATAATATGTGAGTAAAGTATGTGAGAAAACAAAAGCAAATAAGCAAAAGAGGTGTGATGATAGTAACGGCTGCTGCAAAAACTGTTCGGTACTGTATTCCTCGTTCCATGAAAAACTTTTATCATCGATTCACAACATTTTCGTAACAACAACAGGTGGCATACAAAATATTTTTCATCTGTGATAAATTGTTTAAAACTCGTTTATGAGTATCAACACCGACAATACATAGTGCACTCGATGTGATAGCTCTACAGATGAAACGAATTGCAAAAATAAAATACACTGAAAACATGTGTTGATAGCTGGAATTTAAAAGTATATTTGTAACATCACCCGAAAACCATTTGTTACATCTACCAAGATACCCGAATTGGTTTAACTTGCACACAGGGTGGCATAATCAAGTCGAAAGCTATATATATTTACAATATTCATTTAGTTTATTTTTTGTTGAAGTGTCTTCGTTTTTCAGACATGGATTTTGCAAGAGAAAAGGTGAGAAAGAGAGAAACAGAGATAATAACCTAAATAAAAAGTCAAAGGGACACCCGGTAAATGTAATGCGTTAAATAAACAGTTCGCTTGTCATTTGAAGCAAAATGCATATTAAACTACCGCAATGATGAAGTTAAGTTGGTAAATGTTTGTTTAACTAAATTTCAGTGTGTTTATGCACACCCAAGCGATTGAAACTATGAGATTTAAATTTTATAGTCAAATATTAACCTTTCGCCATGGCAGCAGATTTAAGATGGAACCATTTTAAGCTTCATAATATGCTTAACACCATCAACAGATACTCTGCAGAGTGCGGAGTGCGAAGTGTGTACTGTAACGCAAGCTAGTACACTTACAAAAAGTCACAATTATTTGATCTTGATGTGTAACAAAAGCGGAATTTATGATCAACGAAAGGTTTAATTTCTGCATATTCACTTTTGTTGTTGATAATGGAGTTTCTTTTTATGCTTTTTATCGCCTTGAAAATTGTGCTCATTTAAGCACTCCTGTTGAATGCACCAAATGCAAATATAAACATTTCAATTTCATTTATTACACGAAGTTTTGCAAAATGTGAGCGTTGCATTAAAAACATTAGAAAACCAATTTTACCGGTCGAGTAAAACGTGAAATAATACATAATAAACAAACCCCCGGTAACTCACATCTAATTCAACTTTGATATGAATAAATTATCATCCATTGAGAAAACTTTCACTCAGTCGGCTCACATAACTGCAATAATAATTAAAACTTTGAAATTAAAACGATAAAATATTTATCATTTGAATCATTCAAAAAATAGTGATAAAAATGAAATTTACTCGCAGGCAAAATTTGCTATTTACATTGTTTAATCGATTTCTGGTTTGTTCGCTTATTTGCTTTCATTCAGTTTTTTGTTCGCTTCGTCAGCGATAAATTAAAGAAATCTACCTACATTGTGTCGGTTGAGACAATTTGCTTCAAACTCATTGATGTAATTTCACTGAAAATGAAGCATGTGTGATGAAAAACTTTCAAAAAAAAAAAACAAAAGAAAATATATGCATTGACGCAATGGCGAAATGTACCGCAAAAGTTCTCTCGATTTAAGGTATTTTTGTAATTAATTCAGTTTTAATTCATACAACAAAATAAAACAGATGACAGACACAATTTTGATTGTATTTACAACTAAAAATGTAAATTCCCAATTGCAAATACATATATAACCAGGACTCAAGAAAATTGACGATTAAAAATATGGCAGAATTTGTCATTACAAACATTTGTTTCGCCTTTCAATAAGTTTTGAATAGACGCCAGAATGTAAAATACAAAACTTGCTTCGCTGTTCGGTTTGTATATCCACCAATCCACCATCCACAACAGAGAAAACGAAAGAATGGGTGAATTTCAATTATTTCGTTTGTCACGACTTTATAATCGGATTGAAGCGTACCTGCTAATAGCTGCAATTCAAACAAATTTACCGCTAACATTTTATGAACAAAAATAACTTTTATTGTCAACCAGACAGTTCATATTTTTGCTGCATATAAATATATATATTTTTCTTTATTCTCTTGAAATAATTCGGCATTTCAACGGCAAGTATCTTTCTCACCCTTTCAACATTGGTTTGTAGTCATCTTCATTTTTCCGCTTTACTTTAGCCACGCTTTACATATATTCAACTTGAACTATAGTTCAAAATATATTTCGTATAAAAAGCTAATTTAAGTTTTTCAACTTGAGCGCAAGAAAAAAAGAAAAACTTATAAAAATATTTTGACAAGGGTAAAAACGGAAACATATTTCATTATCATTCGTCGACTAGTAATCGTTTATTTTTCATGTTGTTTGAATACAATAAACAAATAAAAACTACCCGTGAATTGCATTCAATAGATTTTTGATGACAGTTTTGGAGTTTTAAATTCATGAATATTGTAAAAAAATTCTGCTATAGTTATTGCCGAACTTTGTTCAACCCTTCCGTGGTGTGGTTGATTTCGAGCCGTTGTCAGCTAAAAGTAAATTTCTATATTGAATTGACAACGGTTTTTGTTTCGTTTCTTGTCACACACACAAATTAGTCACGGTTGCAATGAAGTTGAAAGAACTGTCCTCAAACGAGTTCGATAACAGTTTCAATGGAACCTTGTGAAACAGTGCCCGATTTTCGTCAAGATTACTTAAGCCATCGTGACATAAATGATTATTTGGATTCATTGCAAGCAAAATTTCCGAAATTGGTTCGAGTGAAGACGATTGGTTACACATTTGAAAAGCGTGCACTTAAATCTATACACATATCAGTATCATCGTTGCAAGTGAATGAAATGGATTCAGTGAAGAAAGCCAAATCAGCATCGAATTGCATCCGTTCAAAATGTGTGAAAAGTTTCAGTGCAACCGTTGCCAAACAAAAAATTGATTCGAAACGAAAAATTATACTCATCGATGGCGGAATGCATGGTCGTGAATGGTGCACAATTTCAACAGCTCTCTATTGTGCCAGTCAATTAACCGAAAATTTTGACGCTAATAAAGATTTGCTAGACATCTTCGATTTTGTGATTGTACCATGTATTAATGCGGATGGTTACGAGTATTCACGTCGCTATGTTTGTTCATCTCCATGTAATTTCAAAAGAAATACTTTGCTCTTAATTTTACACTGTACTTTTTTGATTTGTAGAAAAAAATGTGGCGAAAATCCCGACGTCCAATTCATTTTTCAAGATTTATTGGAGTCGATTGCAATAGGAACTTTAGGTTAGTACAGTCATTTTACAGTCTTTTTTCCCAAACATTTTCAAATGAATCGTTTTAAATTTAGTGTGGGATGGGATGAGGCATGTCAAAAAACATCAAGTTGCACATTTCGCGGCGAAAGACCATTTTCAGAACCCGAAACAAGAATCATAAAATATCTTATGCATTCACTAAAGCCGACATTTTACTTGACACTTCATTCATTTAGCAAGTCAATAATGTTCCCATATGCATTTACAAAGTAATTATTATTTTTTTTGATTACAATGTGTGGCTTTTTTGTGATAATTTTTTTTAAATTTCAGAACATTGCCTGAAAATTGGTCAAGTCTTCGTAATTTGGCTAGAGCCGGTTATTTGGCAATTAAAAAGGAGACAGGCACGAAATTTCGCATTGGAAGCGTATCATCGTTAGTAAAAAATTCAAAATCAAGTGGCGGAGGAAGTTTAGACTATGCACATAAAACAGCAAAAATACCATTTGTCATCGTTATGGAGTTATCGGGAGGTGGATTTCAACCATCGAATACGGCCATCTATGGCATCATTTGTGAATGTTGGATTGGTATACGTGCCATGTGCTCATTTTTAAAAAACAAAACTTAATGATAACAATTTTTTTTTGCAATTACTATGATGTGTTCAATTGAATACATTCACAGCCGAATATATAGAGGGCATTTTTGTCATCTGTTTCGTATATAATTCACATATTACTGACCTTTTTCGCGAAAATAAAATTGGTTTTTTGCTTATCATATGTAGACTACATAATGTAGAAGATATTGCGATCTCTTGAAAAAAAAAATTATTCGGTTATATGATCAAGTACAATTTACACTATATACATATAAGTTCAAAAAGACAACGACTTTTATGTTAATCACATATGACCCGAGTAATTCATATGTGGACTCATTCATAATTCAATTTCTTTTATTTGTTTTGCTTTATTTCTTTGATCGAACTTAAACTCAAGCGAACTTATTTGACTGTTTTTTTTTTAATTATGATTTGTACAAAAGCAATCATTGAATGTAGACTTCAACACATTTGGAATAGAAACATATAGCTGAACCAATAGATGGCGTTCAGTGTGCGTTGTAAATAGGCCCACAGCTAAATGGCAAAAAATGTAAAATGTCATTGACTTGTAGTTGTATATAAACAAACAGTGTAGCAAAACATACACAACGAATTCTTTGTTTAATGTGTTGATGGTTTATCGATGATGCATATTCGTTATCGGTAACTTGGAAGTTACAACAAGTTGTGAAAATGTTTAATAACATAGTTTCAGTAGAAGTAGAAATTCCGAGGAGTTGATATGGCAAAAATAGAGACTTTTGTTTTTTTCGATATTGAAACAACTGGTTTGTGGTATTGTGACCCACCAAAACTAACTGAACTGGCATTCGTTGGTGTTTCAAGAGAACATTTTCTTGCTGCTTCTAAAAATGAAATACCTCGACCAATATTCAAACTCCTTTTACCGATAAATCCACGCAAATTGATTCACCCCGAATCAACTCGAATAACAGGTAAAAAGTTCCTCCTGTTCAAAATGAATTTGTTTATTTTTAAAATGTATGTTCTTTTTTGGAAGGTTTGGATAACTTTATGTTGGAGCACATTAAGGCATTTGACGGAAATACGGTTGATCTATTAAATAGTTTTTTAAATCAATTGAATAAGCCTATATGTATGGTTGCTCACAATGGAAACGGTTTCGACTTTCCTCTTCTAAGAAGGCAGCTCCAAAAATTAGTAAGAGCAATTCAATTGGATCATAGCTCAATTTCATAATTTCATGTTCTGTTTTTCAGAATCGATCATTTGATGACGATATTTTATGTGTTGATTCGCTGGCCATTTTCCGGGAGATCGATAAATGCACGATTGTAAAACAAACGGCTTTGGATGAACTCATGAATACCGATTTGCAAGCAGTTCAGAATAGAAACGAAAAAACACCATCAAAAGTGAAATCATTTGTTGTAATTCCAAAGACTCCTTATAAAAAACCAAACGCAGCAAGAGAACTGTTTGCATCAGAAGGTAACAGTCCGAGTACATCGTCTGATGCAAATATAACGAATAAAACTTCCAAATGCAGTTCATCTACTCGAATTTCCTATAAACTAACCGAAATATATGAAAGACTGCATGAACGAAGGCCAAACATAGCACACAATGCCGAAGCAGATACAATTCATCTACTGCAATGTGCAATCGCTTTGAAAGATGAATTTGTATTAATCGCCGATGAATTGGCTACTAAGTTTGCCGATTCAAAATTCAGGATATAATTTGTTCAAACGAATTTGTTTGCATTTTAAACATATTTTGCATGTTTTTTTTATTTGTCCCATTAAAAACTATTTTTAGATAACATTAATATGAAATTCAATAAAGCCTTTAGAAGAAAAATGAATAGAATATTGGTTTAGTTAGAAATAAGGTAATTTGTAAGACACCTTGGATTTCCGTGCCTTGCATAACGACAATACGACTTTTGAAAACTTTGCAAATTGTGTGCAGTGCAAAATTAATGTGAAGTTCTAGAAATCTATATCAATTTTTTCCCAAGTTCAACTTTAGGGCAGACTAAATCGAATACACCAATTTCTGGATTTTGAACACTTGACTTGTAATAAAATCAAATTAAATTTCCGCTTCCCAAACGAATCAAAATGTGTGATCATTAAATGCGATTTTACCTAATATCATTGAAGAAAAACACTCAAAATAAACATGGTGCTCAACCGAGAAAATAGATGGCGTCCAAATAGACTAGAAACTCAGATTTTTTTTCAAGTGATTTGTATCAAAGTACATTTTGATTCAAACGATGTCTTTTAACGTTAGTTTCCTTTTTCCTTAATGGATTTTATGAAAAACTCAACCCCAAGTACCATGAGTGCCATCAAGTAACCCCACAGCAATACCAATAAAGCTGGTTTCGTATCGACTAAACTTGCCTAAAGTAGCAATGGCAAAGTATGGCACTTTTATGTGTCGTAAGCAAAATGCAAATTTTAAAACCAAATACTGATTGAAACTTGCCGTAATGAAATTTCCGCCAGTACCTGTGCATCTCGGTTTTTTTGTATACATTCGCGTATTTTCCCGTTCAGTTATTCCATGCTCATGCATTCGCATCAATCTGAAATCAATTTTATTTCATAACAATGTGCTTGCCAACGTATAAAAACAACGTATATCCATTGATTTCTACCCAATTTTAAATAATTCTTTGTACGATGAATTTTTTTTGATGGCATACCACGGATCTGTAACCTGGAGATAGGCGATTTCAATTAATCCACATTTTTCATCCTCAAAAAATGTTTCACTCATCACTTTATAGCCAAGCGAAAGCTCCATATGGAATGCGAATAATCCTTGCCTTACCTGAAACGATTGCAAAACGTTTAGCAAAACGTGAGCTTTGTAAATAATAGTTCTGAACTAAATTAACAGTTGATAAAGGAGAGAAAAAGTTGAAAAAAAACGACATATTTCTTACTCTTTGTACGCCTTCTTCCAAACTCATAAAATTATCTTGTCCATTTTTCTTCAGCACCTTTTCCGTGTATATTTTCTTGCGCATTGACTCTTCGGCATGCTAAAAAAAGCGAGAAACTTCCATTGACTAATGTTAACTCAGGTAGTTATTTCAATTACCGAGAAATAGTAACGATTGAAGACAGTATCGTCGACACCTATATCCAGCCGTGATTCATACAAATCTTTTAGTGTTTTGATTTTGGTTGAAGGTGACTGCAATAAAGCCACAATATTTGCCGAATAGCTTGTGTACAAAAACATTAAAATGGTAAATGCAACGGCCAATATAATTCGACCAGCAACCGATCGTGGAATAGCAGCCGATCCCTGTTGACACGCTGCTCCGAAAATTACAAAAAATATATCACTAACTGAAGGTCGTAAATCGGAAGAGGAATCCTTCTGTAATATCGTGATACTTTTGCATTGAAAATTGTAACACTTGTGATTTTTTGTTCAAGCTTCACTTACCGCATCCATGCCATTCGATACGTATTTCCATTCGATGAAAACAGATATGATCAAAAATATCGCGGTTACAATAACCAGAACAATGAGACAATACCAAACAAAATCATCGAATGGCAGTAAAAATACATTATCAGTATAGGATAATTTCGGCGATCGGAGTATGAAGCGAGAACCGGTTCTAGTAGGAGATGCAATATATTGAATAATTGGAACTCTCTCCACTAAAACAATTTTACGCACCATCGATGCGAAAGTACACATAGAGAATAAAAATGCATATACAATCAATGAATGTTTTTTTTTAATGAATGGTATCCATTTAATTACCGGTCATGAATAAAGGCGATGCTCCTAATTCAACTTCTTGACGCACTAATTGTCCAACCATTCCACTCCATTCTTCAGTTTTATCATCTTTGTAGCCCTAGAGGAAAATCACAAAGGAAGTAATTAATAATAGAAAAATACTAACAAGTAGTAGAACTTACCCATGACGACACTATTAAATATTCAGCCGTTGCATTTAGGTATGACATCAGAAATTGCGTTAGAATATAATTAACCTTCGTAAAGTAGACGAAAAAAAAATCAATAACAGTTTACCCTAGTTTTTTATTATCTCAATTAATTTTGTGTACCTTCGATAATGGATCAGTTTGAGTTTCGCTTTAGAAAGAAAGAAATGTAAATCATCAAACAATCGTTCATGTTTGTAATTGTAAAATACGACTTTACCGATAGTCGGTTAGATGATTTAACGTATCGTTATTCGTAACAACCATGGACGCTTTCAAACGTAAACCAAACAAATTTTGTCGTCTTCGTGAGGATATGGTCGTACGGCGATAGTCAATGAATAGACCATTGATGATCTCACCAAATTCTTCGATAATTAATGGCATCAACACATCAGTTCGATACAATTGTTGTACAACAATTTTTTCGAAGATATTTTGTGATTTCACATAATACACTTCGCTTGTGATTAAAATCGGCAAATTCCGTGAAACAGACCAGAATGCTTCTTCTGTCTCCTAACGAATAGCAAAAAATAAAATAATTTTCAATAATTAAAAACTGGTGCCGAAGGAACTGTACACACTATGGACATCTGCATATCAAATATGATCCAAAAATAATTTATCCATTTCTCCTTTGCACTCAGTAGAATTGTATCAGCTCCATTACATTGAAAATCGATCAATATAAATTCATGCTGTTCTTTGGTCGAGTCCCGTGACACATTTATGAAATCAGTTTGTGTGATGACGATTTGATAACTTTCGTTGGCATTATTGATGCTCGTGTAGAAACGAAATGAAAAGTCTATTTTAATTCAAAATGAAGATATTGCAAAATTCAGAATTGTTGCAATTACCCGAAGGCCAACAAGCCATCACTGTTAAACGACCCGGTTTACCAATCGCTTCCAATAAGACTCTGACCGAATTGGCTAATATCTTCGCTTGATCATTGTGTGAGGAAAAAATTCCAATGCTGAATGAAATAAATAACAAATATTTAAGAACACTGTTGCTCAACATGTTTTGTGTTTGGTAGATTTCTAAACTTTGATTGAAACAAAATGGATTTCAATCTTTTTATACTGCATGCTGCGTCACATTTCAAAGCAAATAAATTGAATAAATAAAATTTATTCGTACTATTTGACGGATTGGATTTAATTTCATAATCAAACAAGACATTGATTTATTCAATGATCTAGTGCAATTTTCAAATTTAATATATTGTTTGCATTTCAATTTTATAAAATCGCGCTCATGCATTCGAAATAATTGTTTACTTTTCGAATACGAAATGAAATCATGTTGGAATGGATACGAAGGACAGCGTTTATTGTTGTGCGTATATAAAAGCCTATTCGATGGAGACGGCGACATAAAACTAATACCAAATTGACATACGAAAAACACAATTCTCACCAAATATGAATGTCATCGATTTCATGAAAAATATGGCGCTTTAGCACAAAGTTAATAACATCAATTGTACGGCAAACAATCGCAACGATTTCAAATTAAAATCCGAAAATCATTCAATTTAATATTGTACCAAATCCGAAAAGTTGCCGGATTTTATGCGAAATGCTAGATAAATCTGTTCAGATGTTGTATTAAGTTGTAAATTTGATAAATAACAAAATTTTATTTGGTTAAATTAACGTGCATCAGTTTATATTCACAACGGGAAAACAATCAACGACGATTATTTGTTTTGGAACAATAACGAATAATTTATTGACACCAAAAAATGGATCCACGACGCCAAATGCCAAAATCAATATCCATTTCGGATCCTTTGATCATTCCACGTGTAAAACAGGTACGTTAATTTCATTTCACGCTAACAAATATTCTTTGGATATGTTTGCGTCGGTTTTTACAATGCCCATCGTATATACGGTTAAATTTTTTTTGTTGAGGTTATGCAAACATATTTACGTAGCCCCAGAGAGTAAAACGAAATGTAAATGATACAATGCCAAAATGTTACAATATGTTGACGATTCAATCAATTAATTTGAGTTAAATTTTTATGTAATTCAGTATTTAGAGGAAAATGTCCATCAAACGTATGTAGATGTTGGTGTTATGGCACGTCATTTACAAGAAAAATACCGCGAATATGGACGTCGAAAAAGTCAACCGTTTCGATTTTTAGTTGATCAAGGTAAAATTAAGTTTAAAACGATTTGTTGAATAATGCATCTGAGCATCTGTAAAATAATTTTATGGTTTTGTTTAGCTTACAAAACAGTGTTGCACAGTTATGGTTTGGACAGTAATCCATCCACAGAAGAAGAAGAAAATTCAGATTTGGAGCTCATGGAGGTACATAGATATGTTTGGATATTGAATTTGAATTGTATCGTTTGCTTTTTAATTAATTTTTTTTTTTTTGCTTATATTATAGGATCAGCCGACGCAAAGTAATCATATGAACAATATGCTAAATGACATGTATCGTGCGAATACGAATGAATCACGAACACCGACCACACAAAATGAATTTCCCATCGACATAAGCAGCGACGAAAGTGATGTCGAAGACTCACTTCCGAAGAACACAAATAACGGTACGTACGCACGTAATGGCATCCGGTTAAGAAAATATACACACATACACTTATATATTCGCAATTTAGAGTACATAATGGCGTTCATTAAAGCGTTATGTCAAATAAACCAATTTTTTTTTATATTTTTTGGGACAATTTTAAGTTTTTTTTTTTTTTTTTTTTTTTTTTCAAAAAAAAGGTCATTCGTCCAAGGAATTTCCAAAAATCCCAAAGGATATTGTACTCGGATCGATAACAAAAAGTACAGCGGCAGCAGAAACATTGGCTGGTATTCGAGAAGAGAGTTTGAAATCAAAAAGTGCCCTATCGGTGACAGCGCCATCGACAGCATTGTCCCCAGTTACAATAACGAAAAAACGGAAGCTTGAAGCAATTTCATTTGACACCGGAACGGATCGAAACTGGCAACCACCAAGTCGGCAAATTTCGAAAAAATTCAAAAAAGAATTTCCCGCCAAAAAATCCGAATACACATTTGAAAGCATCGGTGGTGTTAATAAAATACTCAAGGAGCTATGTGAATTACTGCTGCATATCAACAATCCGGACATTTACAAATGTATTGGACTTCCCGCTCCACATGGTTTCTTATTATTTGGACCACCCGGATCTGGCAAAACATTACTCGCTGAAGCTATTGCTGGGGTAAATTTTTTTTTATTTACTCGTTAACTGTTACAATTGTTTCGTAGCATTTTTTTTTCATGGAATTGAAACAATTTGAAGCGTAACAAAAACGATGTTATACAAACACTGAATTCAATCTCATAAATGACATTTTGATTTTTTGTTGCAGCAACTAAAAGTTGACATAATTCAAGTAGCTGGCACAGAGCTTGTGTCCGGCGTGTCTGGTGAATCCGAAGAACGAATTCGTGAATTATTCGAACAAGCAGCAATGTGTTCTCCATGTGTGCTGTTCATTGATGAAATCGATAGCATCACATCAGATCGAAAACATGCATCAAAAGACATGGAACGTCGCATTGTGGCACAGTTGATATCATGCTTGGATGATTTACCGAAAATGCCTGGAGGTGAACAAGTTGTTGTAATTGGAGCAACAAATAATGCAGACGGTTTGGATCCAGGATTGCGACGAGTTGGTCGTTTTGATCAGGAAATTTGTTTAGGTATACCAGATCGTGATGCACGCTGCGAAATTTTACGGATTATTTGTCGAAATCTTCGACTGGAATCATTCTTTGACTACGATCTGATTGCATCGTTGACACCCGGTTTTGTTGGTGCTGATCTTCTGGCATTGGCAACACGAGCCGGATTACTAGCCGTCAAGAAGGTGTTACATGACAAACAAGATCAAGCTCTGAAAGGTAATAAAGTAAATAAGCCAAATCCAGCCGTCACAGCTGAATTAAATCTTGATATGCATGACGAAATAAATGAAGATGGAATGTTCATGCAAATTGACCATGAATCACCACAAAAGAGTGATGAAGACTTGAATATTTCGCCACAACAAAAAGCTGAAAATCAAGAAAATCAAAATAAAAAAGATGTACCTGAAGCAAATACAGAATCATCTGAAAATCAAACCGAATCATCGCCCAAAATCGATGAAACAAATATAAAAACCGATGAAATCGCTAAAAATGTTGATGATTCAAAGCCGAATGACACAGAAGTCAGTCCAACGGTTAAAGCAAGCGGAAGCACTGATATTTTAATTGTTACTGAAACAAGTACAAATGAAACGCTTGGTGAGGCGTTACTTAAAAATGACACCATCAAAGATCGAATGGGTCTCGATGTTATGTTTAAATGGCTTAGCCATCAAGAAAATCTAGTTACCCCAGAAGATTTGAATGACTTATATATAACAGTAGATAATTTCAAAGAAGCCGTTAAATTGATTCAACCGTCCGCCAAACGTGAAGGTTTTATCACTGTACCAGATGTGACATGGGATGACATTGGTTCACTTCGAGACATACGCGAAGAATTAAATCTGGCTATTATGGCACCGGTCAAATTTCCAAATCGTCTCAAAGTATTGGGTATTAATGCACCATCTGGCGTTCTTCTCTGTGGTCCACCGGGTAAGAAAATGACAACATTTCCAATTTCCAATTTGATAAGTAAATCAAATGATCAATTCTCTGTTTCCAATAGGATGTGGTAAAACATTGTTGGCGAAGGCAATTGCCAATGAAGCCGGTATAAATTTCATCTCGGTTAAAGGTCCCGAATTATTGAACATGTATGTGGGAGAGAGTGAACGTGCGGTACGGCAATGTTTCCAGCGTGGTCGTAATTCAGCACCGTGCGTAATATTTTTCGATGAATTTGATGCATTGTGTCCGAAACGAGGTGGTTCAAATGACAGCCAAGCTGGTACACGTGTCGTTAATCAATTGCTCACTGAAATGGATGGCGTTGAAGAGCGTAAAGGCGTTTTCATAATGGCCGCCTCAAATCGTCCCGATATGATTGATCCAGCCGTTCTTCGACCGGGACGTCTTGATAAAATTCTTTATGTTGGTCTACCGCAGAAGCAAGACCGATTGGAAATTCTTCAAGCTCAGACAAAAGTATGTTCAAAATTGTATTATGTATTTGTATGTGTTATTCATTTGAATCAAACTTTTCGTCTGAAATGAATATTGTAGCAAGGAAAACAACCAGTTTTAGCAGCCGATGTTGATTTGGAGGAACTTGCTGAACTCACAGACTCATTCACAGGCGCTGATCTTGCCGGGCTTGTACGACAAGCATCTTTACAGGCACTTCGGGATACACTCAAAATTGAAACAACACCCGAATCGGAAATCGACTTAAGTGTACACAAACAACACTTTTTAATGGCCTTGCAAAATTTGCGTCCATCAGTTTCAACAGAGGTACACATCAATTCACATAGTGTGTTTTTTTACCAAAGTTCATTTAATGAAGAAACAATTATTTATTTTCTACAGGATAAAGTTCAATATGAAGCGCTGCGATTGAAATATGCATCTCCATCGAAGAAATAGAACAAACAATACATTCAGTACGAAATACATAAATCACATCAAAGGACACAGCGAAACCATCATATATCACTCAAAATGGACGTATTTTACAGCAAAAAAAAAATTCTCTCTTTTTTAAAAAAAAACAATCATTTTTCTGTTATTATGTGCCTGAACAAACACATTCACACTCATAAAACAAGCAATGTATTTTAAATACGCTGAAAATAAAACATTTTAAATACAACGTAAAATTGGTTGTTTGACAATTGAAATTTACAGCAACGCTGAACGGTATTTCAAATATGTAAAAATGATGTAGATTGAAAGAAGTAAACTTGAAACGCTTTTTCTTATTTATTTACAAATAAAAATTCATTATATTTAATTATTTTCAATTTTGCAAGTGTATCAACATCAATTTCAAGTTATTGGCTTTGTTGGTCGTTCTCAATGATTACTTTGCCACGTTTGATTGCTTCCTGTCGAAGCATGTCCCTCAATTCGAGGCGTTGTATTCGTTTTTCTTGCCTTTCCATGTCGTCAAATGCAAAAAACCGATGCCGAAAATCGTCTTTAATTTGATCTATGTTTTCCAAATGGTCTTCGTCAGGTTCGGCAATTTTTTCGTAAGTTAATAATCGTCGTGCGCATATGGAGCTAAGCGTTTGCTCTGAATTGGCAATTAATCGTAGGCAATTCGACTTTGGTATACAACTCTCCGAATAATCGCTCCTGTCAATAAAATGGAAATATTTTCTATTAATCTTAAAACGTTAGAAAGCATATCAACCACGTACTTATAAATGGGAATCCAACAAACTAATCGCCCACCGATTCGTAAATGTTTGGCAGCAAAATCCAATAAGTCTTTGTACAAATTCGATAATTGATAGGGTGAAGTTGATGGATAGTGAACTGGATCAACAGAGTCTGGTCGTAACGGACGTCTAACTTTTGTTTCGATTTTTTCTCTAGCTTCTCGAATTCCATATGGAGCTAGAAATAGTTTTGTTTTACGTAAACATTTCTTCTACATGTTAGTTTCGATTAACTTACGATCCGTGATGATGCTATCCAATTGAACGATTTTGTCGTGCCATATGGAATTGGAAAAGTCAGAAACAAGAACATCCAAATAGAGATGGTCACAATTATATTGCTTTAAGTTCGCCAGAATAGATTCGTCTTCATCACGTGTCTGAAAAATGTTGTTTTTTTTTTTAATTTAGAAATGCGCTAAAATTGAGATTGGTTGAGAATATTTTTGGCTATTCACCTTTTGTGATACTCTTGATGGTTTTGTTTTTCCATGAAGCATAAGATAATCAATATCGGTGCCCATTACATATCCTAAAAAAGTAGAGTGATTTTTTGCAAATGAAAATATTGGATAGTATGTAATTTATTTGATAATCAAACTAACCGCCACATTTAGCTGCAGCAATCAACAGAGAACCGGTTCCAACAAATGGATCAAATACAATATCGCCTCGTTTAACTTGTGCCTGATTTGCCATGAGTAAACTTAACGTTGGTTCCATTGATGTATTACCAATGAATTTTCTTGTTTTCAATGATATTTCGTGGATTAATGATCGATTTCCATCTGCGACCTTAATACAACCGAATACAAAAGTATTATTTCAAGACGCAATATATGAACATTGTTTTCCTTACCCATTTACCAAAATAGATGTTATATGGTTCGGCTGGTGCATTATTCGGATCCAGTCCATAAAATTCAATGTAACAACATTCAAAATCTGGATTTTTCAGTTTTACATCACCCTCGAATGGTAAATAATCAAGAGTTTCGATTTTATCGACTTTCATCTTATGTTGAATGGTTTTACTGTATGTTTCCACGGTAATTCGAAATGAACTTTTACATAATTGCTGAAAATTTGCATCTTCTTTATTTTTGGCGACAAAATCCCTGAGATCCTTGTGGAATGATTCATAATTGGATGCGCTCGACCAATGCTCAAGAATACAACGAATTGACACGGAACGGGAAACCAATTGTCGGGCACATTCAATACTGGGTAGGTCAATAGTTTGGAATGGCTGCTCTATCTAAATAATATAAAAGAATATCACTTATTAAATAATTGCTATTTATATAGAGCCGATTAAATTTCAACCTCTTCGCAAATGTTTGGCGGTAGCCTGTGTGGAATTTGGTACAAATTCAAAAGCGATTGCAACTCCTGAAAAATAATAATAATATCAAAATGTTGGACTATCTATCTTGAGATATTTTCAATGTAAATTATTATTGTCTATTTACTGCATATCGAAAATTGACATGTTGTTGTGCGAACCACAAAATGTATTTTTTCCATTCCATTTTAAACGCGAATCAACGAGATACTGTTTGAATAAAGAAATAATGTGTTGTTGACAGACAGAATGTCAAAACCAAATTCTTCCATCCATGTGTGCTTTTTTGAGGTTATGTTATATCGTTTGTTGTTTGACGAGAAAGAAATAAACATTTCTGTTTCTTAATAATTTCAAAACAATTGAATTTTAAAAATGGAATTTTCGTATATATTTTTATTTTAAAATATCAATCGCAAACACATAAGATACATTCAAAGTAAATAGTCCGTTTTTTATTTAAAATCTGCGCTCAGTTTTGAATTTTGTTCGTTAAGTTAAAAAAAATAAATAAATTATATTATATAAATTATAATATCAAGAATCATGAATTTTATTATCTTTTTTTTTTGTGGACTCTGATCCATGATAATCGTCCGAGTGTTTTTGGAATTCATCTTTCGGACATATTTCTTCGCAAATGGGACACTCGTAGTTGCGACACGATTTTACAAGCTCCGAAAGTCTTTCATCCAATAATTCATCGGGAAGCCGACATTTTTTCGGAGCTTGTTCTGTTTCGTCCGAACTGGACAATCTTCTTTTTTGATTCGGGTTTTCACTGGTGTCACTTGACCTATTTTCTGTAAAAAGTCAATCAATCAATCAATATTTGAAGATTCATATTCAGAAACGTGTCTGCATGTGTAATGAAAATCGCTTGCTCTTACCTGGTTCAGTTTCCGTATTATTTACATTGGTATTTTGGATATGTGTGTCCATGTTATCTGGTTGACTACGAGTCAAGGGAACATTCATAGTCACTTGTTTAGCTATCTCGTTCTCTAATGTCTTTCTTATTGTTTGTTCGATTACTTCAATCTCGTTCATCTCGCCAATGGCCTTTAAAATTGCTTCACCTAATATCATTTTTACTGTATACAAGAAGAAAATAATCGTAAAATGTCTTAATCCAAACAAACCGATGAGAACGCACCGATTGTAATTTGTTTTCACGCGACAAAATATTATTTAATTTTCTTTTTCCAATCAAATTCAAATAGATTGATATTTATATTCACATTTGATTTTTTATTGAACAGAAAAAAAATTCTTCTTTTCACTAAAATTGTACTTGCGATGCTGTAAAAGTTATTTGGCTTCGAACGATTGTTTGTTAAATGAAGTTGCACAATGCGGTGTGTTAAAGAGAAACACCAGCATGATTAACGGTGTTTATGTATTTTCGCATAGCATACAATTGAATGGGTAAGAATAATCATGAGCTCCAAACATTCTTTAAA